TTACAATTCACACTTTAATCTCAACACCCAGAGAAGAGTCAGCGCAGCCCAGATTTACTGAGTACACTAAGTGCCTTTTCCTCCCTCTCATCCCACCCATCTCTTAATCTTGACTGACCATCCAGTAAGAAACGGGCCTCGGGCTTCACTCTGTTGCATCAGCGGCTGAGAGACTTTCACCGCTGAGTACTGAGAGCATTTTAATCCAGAACTCAAGGACAGCTCTCTGGTTTTTGTGCTTGCAGCAGGATTTTCTGCAGTTCATTGTGTTGTGAACTTACTGCAGTTTCAGTTAAAACKCAGTTACAGAACTAGTTACTGGTTTGTGTATTTCATGAGTTGTCTCAGCGTTTCATCCAGTGTATTAAAAGCCTGGAAGGCAACCTAGCTTTTCTTAAAACTCAGTCCCTAGCATTCATTGTAAAGGGCTGTTCAAAWGATTCAGCTCTTTTGGGAACATCACAACTCTAGCTCTGATTAACACCTGGCAGGAACATTTTTCACACACACAATGTGAAGCAAATTCAAGGGATTGGGACTGAACAGTTGTGTAGTTACAAGAAAACCACCTATCTGCGAGGATGGTTGAAAAAATTGCTTCAATTTGCTAGGGAGCATAAAGATTGGACTGTGGAGCAATGGAAGAAGGTCWTGTGGTCTGATGAGTCCAGATTTACTCTGTTCCAGAGTGATGGGAGTATCAGGGTAAGAAGAGAGGCAGCTGAAGTGATGCACCCATCATGCCTAGTGGGTTCAGCAGTGTTATGTGAACAAAGAATGATGTCAGCTGATTACTGGAATATACTGAATGACCAGGTTATTCCATCAATGGATTTTTTTTCTCCCTGATGGCATGGGCATATTCCAAGATGACAATGCCAGGATTCATCGGGCTCAAATTGTGAGGTGGTTCAGGGAGCATGAGACATATCTTTCAAACATGTATTGACCACGACAGAGTCCAGAYCCAAACCCTAGAATCTTTGGGTTGTTGTGGAAAAAACTTTTGGCAGTGGTATGAATCTAATCAAGACAAGACCTTGGGGGGTGGGGAAAAAAGAAAACTCTGGACAGAAATAATTACTGTGGCGTTGCAGAAGCTTGTGGAAACAATGACACAGCAAATGTGAGATGTAATCAAAACTAAGAAATACTGTGTGTGAAMTTTTTTTATTTGGCCATGCCGTATACAATCCAATTTTTCCGGACAGATGTTAGTTCTAGGTTCAGGTCTGACTAGTTGTGGTTATGATATATCATAATTTGTCTTACTATATTTTCTGTCCCTCACCTCCATATTCACACTGAACACTCATTAGACTGTCGCTTTAGGATAGGTCTTCTGAAATAAATCACTGAAAAAAGGTTGTGACTTACAGCTTCTGACAGCAGACTGATGTAAGAATCAAAGAAARATAAAGTTACAAACTGTGTGTTCACCAGTCTTCACAAGAACAACCTGTGCACAAAGACTTGTCCATGAAAAACTGCAGTGAGCTTTTGCTGTGAGTTCAAATATTTCAGCTCATWTTCTTTTATTACACAGCTTTGTTTGGAGTACGATGATTCATCTAGAATAGCTTGAGAGGTTAAGTTTTAATCAGAATCTGAGTTAGTGCTGATTAAAAAACACTCAAATGTTATAATCAGTGYTTGAAGAGAGCTGCTTTGTGGCTTTCTTTTTTTTTCTTGTCTCGATCTCTCCTCACTTTGCTGTTGATCTCTTTAGCTCAAGCTCTTGTCTCTACATTGTGAATAAGGAGCTGTGTGTGTCTGTGTGTGTCTGTGTTCAGTTCACATTAGACCCTTCGGGACAAAGAAAGTGAAAGGGATGTCAGAGGAAACCAGCTTCATTTTTATCTATAAAAGTATGGAAGCGATTGTGTTCCATAATCCTAATTAAAATGGATTAATAGAAATCATATAAAAGCACAGAAGAGAGAGAGACTATACAGTTTGCATTTTGTTTGTTCTCCTGTTCTTGCTCCCGGTTGTATTTATTTGCATTTAATAAAATGTTTTAGGCTCTTCGAAATCAAATCAAACTGTAAGACTCAAGGTAAAGAATGTATAAATGTAGACCCAGTTTGTCTGTGAACAATCTCTTGGAAATGTTAGATTGTTCCATGTTGATTGTAAAACTGTCACAGGTTCACACTGTAATGCTGAGAATGGATTCATCTTTTAGACAAGACTGCAAACGGTAATCAACCTGCTATAGTTTCCATGTATATCAACAACATGCAGGTGCTGAAAGGCTGGTTTATACTTTAAGACTATAACAGTGGTAATCACTGATGCCTCACAGCAATAAGGTCCTGAATTTGATTGCCAATTCAGACCAGGTGTTTTTTTTTTTTTTTTTTTGTGGAGATGACAGCTTCTCCTCGTGCTTGTATGGGTACTCATGTTTCCTCCCACAAACCAAAAACATGCATGTTTTGTTGCCTTCAGGCCCAGACCTCTCTTACAAAATAGATCTAATTTGCCTTGTTCAAAAAAGGGTAATGAACTAAAAGACTTGAGACAATCAGTGGTTATGTCCCTTTGGATGTCTTTGTCTCACCGAGTGTTTATAGTTGGACAGAAGACAGGGAGATAACTCATCATGATCCCTCCCATAGACTACCCAATGTAGCATGCATAGCAAAGCATATTACTGCTGAGATAGAAAGAAGAAATGGTTTGTTGGCAGCTCATTGGGACCAGACAAGCTGTTACCGCCATCAGGGAGCAGACCGTCTTCAGCAATATGACATGCAGAAACTCTGTTCCTCACAAACAAACAACGCCCACAAAGTTCTGACCAATCACACAATGTGAGCAGCATAGGTCTGCAAGACACAGTTCTGCCTGAGGGCACTGTACAAGACAGGGTGTCAGCAGGAGATAACAGACTTATGACCACGTGTGAGGGTTGGAACATAGACAGACCAAACTGAGAGTTTTGCATTTTGACAGTTCTTTCTTCACCACAACCAACCAATCAACACCCTCATTACTGAGGACAAGGACCCAATCCGTCGATCCATCTCCCGCTTCATCCTACCATCACTCGTGAACACGACACCCAGATACTTAAGTTCCTCCACTTGAGGCAGAGTATCACCCGACGCAGTGGGGGCATTTCATGGTTTGTTTGTTTTTTGGTCGAGAACCATGGCCTCAGACTTAGAGGAACTGACTCTCATGCCAGCCGCTTCACATTCGGCTGCAAACCGCCCCAGTACAAGCTGAAGGTCTGGGCCTGGAGAGATGCCAACAGAACCACAACATCTGCACAAAGCAGAGACAAGACCTGTACTTCCCAAACCAGTAAAGTGTTTTTATTTATTCATTTTTTTTACTGGGTTGAGCTATCTCGAAAAGCTACCTTTGTGTTTTTGGCAGCTAAATTTTCATAAACCCACCTCTAATCTAACCAGCCCAACAGCATCATTTATAATAACAACAATGGCAAATTCTATGACTATATTTGTGCACACAAGTGTTACAGCATCACATATACACCTGACATATGGAGCAACTACAACTTTTTGAGTCTTTTCAATTTTTTAAAATTTTTTATGTGGATGAAGACGTTTTTAAAATGCCATTGTGTTTATGAGAATAGTTTAAATTAAGAATTTGAGAAAAAAATAACATTTAAAGATTTTGATTGCAGATTGTAAGTTTTGCTTTTGAAACTACCTTTTTAAATGTTTTTTTCTCAAATTCTTAATTTTTGTTTGATCGTCTGTTTTTCTCAATCTTTAAGGCACAAAACTAATTCCATACATGCACATCATCATTTTGTCCACACTTATTTCAGACCATTTACTCACATACAATAGCAGAGTGTTGGGGGCCAGACTTGGTGTCAAGCTGGCACTGCTGGCTGACTACTGGAATGGCAAGTAGTATGTCAACGGGATATGAGCCAGGTCTGACAATGATAGCACTGTTTTACAATAAGATGGCATTCCACAACTGGCCTGGTTGTGGTTTGGTTTATGTGGTACTGGCCCATGCATGGAACATCTCTGGCAAACTACGTCTGGGCTATCAAAAGGTCATCATTCTTTGTGGTGTCTGGGCTGTGTGTTGTTGCATTGTGTGGGCCAGAACTTGGCCARATAAATGTTTCTATGTTGGCCTATTCTGAGATACATGCTGAAATTGTCATGCTGTAAGGTGGCAAAGATGTTTAAAATGAGCAAATTTCAAATATAGAATAAGGTCATAGCTTCACCATAACTTCTCCTAYATTTTTTTTCCTTTGATGTTTGAAAATTTCCTCTCTGTTAATAATCATTTCAGCACAAAATCAAAGTTAAATGGCAAAAAAAGGGCCAGGACAGTATGAGACAAACCCAGTAAAAACTGTAAAAATGGCTCCATATTTGCTTTAATTTCTATAGCACAAAGTTATTAAGTTATATTGTTACTGAAAATCTTCCTGCACATGAACAAAGTTTTAAATAACCTACTCTTTGGAACTCTTCATTTGTGAACAGGAGGTGCAAATACATCAGGGAATCTCAGTTTTTTAAAATATCCAGAGTAGTATTTGTGCACTGGGGATGTCTGACAAAGTAAGAGGAGCTCATGGATGCAAAAAGCTTATTCTCTGCCTAATGGCGTGTGAGTCAGAGTATTTATGTTCAGCATGAATGTGTCTGGAGTCACCAAGTAGATTGGAAATGACTCAGTCTGGTTGACCCACCATAACTACCTAAGATCATGGAAAAATAGGTGTTTTCACCACAGTTCCTTCTKTTCTCCCTCCCCTCAGTCTTATCTGAGCTCACAGGAACCCAGGCCGGGAYGGATGACTGAGGAAATTGAATTCTCTTTATCACTGTCATGCTCCCTCAACAAGCTGCCCATTTGCGCACGCCAGCTTCTCCCCGCGCTCAGCTGCAATCAYGCACAGAGACACAGACATGAAGACGGATGCAGTATGCCACTCATGCTTGCCTTTATCTGCGTGATTTTTATATTGACATTTTTTTCTGCAGTTGTCGAACGAGCAACAGGAAAAGCCTGATCCTGACGACCACGTCTCCCACGCTGCCTCGCCCTCACTCCCCCCTGCCCCTCCCTGGACACCTCGGTACGCACAGACTTGTTGTAAACACGGATTTTTAAAAAAAAATCCTTCTGTCTTGCTATGATCTAATTTAAAAACCCCAAATTATCTTTGATTTGAGTTTCCATTGCACAACAACAACAACAAAAGAACATCTATTCTGGTTAGTTTTTACGATGGATAAAATCAAATTCAATTAGACAAAATAGATTTTTACTTTGAGTCATGAGTTATTTTTGCCATCGGAAAGATTGTCCTTGCTTCTCTAATGCCTGAATGATAAATCTAACATATTGCCAACATGACTTAATGCAGTACAAAGAGAGAAAAAAAACTTAACTGCATAATCAAAGATTTTCTTCAAGTTTTTTTTTGTGAAATAGTTCTAAACAATTAAACTACATTTAGATATACTACATGTAGATAGCTATTTGTACGACCTCAGTTTGTTGAAATATAATTTAATTCTGATGAGCTACAGGCTAGTCTGAGCCAATAGATCATGACAATAAATTCTCTTTATTCCCACTCACATGCTGCTCATTGTGGGAGATTTCAGATTTTTTACACAATCTTAGACAGATAACGTTCACTAGTTTGCATTTTATAATGCACGTTTATCTTTTTGTCTAGTGCCCTGAAATGACCTTTTTTAGTGAAATGTTGCTATATRAATAAACTGAAGACAACCCTTATACATTTTTGTCTCAGCCTTGCTCAGACTAGCTGTTAGCTCCTCAGAGTTAAACTGTTTCTCCAAACTCAGGCTGTTCACAGAGTTATCTGCCACAGGTAAGATGTTCATCTTTAATGAGAAACCAACAGCAAAACATCTCAACATCCCATTAAGGCTTTATAATGATTGTTTACTCWATGAGCATCAAAACTTGACAGGGAGGGGCTAGGGTTTTACTATCAGGATTGAGAGTCAGGGGTTTTGCTAGCTTTTTTTTACCTTAGGCAACGAGCTGCAAGTTCAAGAAATTACTGCCCGGCAAGCTTGATAATACTGAGCATACAAGGGGACATCAAGGGAAATTTTTCTTTTGCTTTCCCACACAAATGTTTTGCATTATCTCACAAAATTTGTTCATTTGTTGTGCCTGCTGTTTATTGATACATTCACAATTCACTGACCGCACCACTATACGAGAGGTATTACTTTAATTCAGTCATATCACAGCCATATATATATATACATATATATATATATATAACTTTTTTATATATCTCTATATACTATATATGATACTGATATTTAACTCTAAACAACAATGCAATATCATTGTCATCTTCCCTAACTTGTGGTAACACATCCTGTTTCAGTAACAGCATATTTCAAAAATAAAAGCCTCATTCAGAACAGTCAATAAAAAACATGGAAACACAAAAAAAATCCCCCTGTCTCCTTGTGTGCTCCGTATGTATCTAACTCCATCTGAATGACAATTTATAATTATTTTGTCATTTATTTTTATTGTACAGTTTTCTAGRTGTTCAGTTTTGTAGCAATGTTGCTCCTGGCCTAAATAAGTCTTCCACTTTTTCCTCATGTTAAAAAAAAATACAGAAACAGATCAACGTCTGTGGTTGAGTTCATGTTGATTTTATTAGTWAAATGTGTAAAAGAATTGTGGCAGGCCAAAACACCAAGCAAAGCAGTCTTTTCTCWCTGAAAATAAATGGCGGAAATGTAGAAGCAGCAAAGAAAAGGGTTTCTCATGTTTTGGAACGTCACATTTAATTTGGCCTGGGTTTGGTATGGAGCAAAGAAAGAGACCGAGCTTAAACAAAGATTAGTTCAAGTCCTTTCTTTGACTTTCCAGTCCAAAGAACAACCCAGACTAGTGACACTTTTTGTCCAGGCTACAAACATCAAACATGGAAACTTGAAGAGTAATAGAGGCAAAAATGTAAGATAAGAGGGTTAATATCTAATACAGTTTGTCACAGTGTGCCACACAGAGTAAAAAGCCTTTTGTGGTTCCGCTAGGACATGTTCTCACTTCTGATGTGTCTCATGACCGTGCTTGTCTTGTTCTGGCAGGAAGCAGCCCCCTGGACAGCCCCCGAAACTTCTCCCCAAGCAACCCTGCACACTTCTCCTTTGCCTCCTCCAGAAGGTTGCTGCTTTACAACACTTTTATGCATGATTCAAATTGTTGTGGCATGTGTCTTTTCACCATCTCAAGTTTTTTTTTTTTTTTTTTTTTTTACCAGAGAGTCATGAAAACTTGGGCAACTTTTTCTTTCCCCAGAGGACCATTTTGATTTTAGTTGAATTGAAGGGCCAAAAAATGAACAAAGTTAAAGGAGCTGTCTTCTATCTTCCTTTATCATACACATCACATCATATGCATAAAGCACACATGGAAATGTTTGGTATCTATCGCACGAGCATGTATCTAACAGTTGTTGCATGTTTATTGACTATTCTTTGTTTGAAATTTTTTGCATGCAAGGTGGTGGTGTAATGTTCCAGGAATGAAAGCTCCAATTCATTGACTAAAATYGTGGTTTGAGTATTTTATTTTTGTTTGAGGAGCCAGATCGAGATTGTTTGGCCCTCTGGCCTTAATTTGCTCRTGTTTTGGACAGAGGGAGAGCGGAGAGAGACACAGCGAGTGTCAGAGGACAAGAGGGCTGTTGTTAGCGTTGTCGCAAATCCTGGAGAGTCTTGGGGGATGTTTATAGTGTTAACAGGCCGACTCATGTACAGTATGTGACGGGGCCACCTAATTACATTCACAGCTCCTCTCTGTGTTTACTCACAGGGCTGTAATGAGAAGCCAAGAGGGCTGTGTGTGTACACCACGGTTCATCTGCTCAGATTGAGCTGCATGGATGTTACAGTGGGCTTTTGAGGGGATCAAAGTTTAAATATCTCTGCTTCATCTGGATTCTGTGACATTTAATTTTTATTTACCTTTTTTAAATACAATAAMGTTCTTCACCATACAGGTGCTGCTGTGAACAGTTGGTTTAGTCACATTGAGAGGAACTGATCTGTTAAAGCAAAGATACTGGATGCAGGACGATATTTATCTGTTTTATCAACACAATAACAAAATGCTCAAATACAAAAAGAAATTGACTGACAGGCCTGCAACCTGTGACCTTAGTTCAACCAAACACTCAGACTAAGCTAGACTTTGAACAAGATTTCATTTGAAGGCTTCACTAATACTCTTGTTTCTAAAAGGGTACAACTCCACACAGTTTCTCACATTGCTTAATAACATTATTATTTTACGTATAATAAGATTACTGCAACTGCATTTAGCTTTATTGCTCATGCGTCCACATGCTTGCTTGTTACAATAGATTTTTTAAAATTATTTTAGAGGGGGTWATGCAAAGAACAGTCTGTAATATGAAACAATGGATTTTTGGTGGCAATAACATGTTTCTGTTGGTGTAAAATAGCATGTTTCACTCATCCAGCTCACATTATACTGGCTAATTTATACTGTAATGACATTTTAGCATTGTAAGGCCTGGCCCGGCCCAGTCTGGCCTTGTTTTACACTGGCCCTGGCTGTGTTCTGCTTTTGCAGAGTGCCACCTCAATGTGGACAGGGATCATCATATCAAAACCATGCAAATGTTTATATGATGTCATTTTATTTGTAACACAACAATATACGACATTGAGCTCATGGTGCTTCCCTTTGTTCTCTATATAATTCAAGACCAGCTGAAACAGCAAGACGGTGTCAAATCAACCCCATCAGCCCAGCCTGAATAGACCTTTAGGTCTCTGGGTTCTAGAAATCAAGCTGGAGGTGGACCATAATGGCAAATGCTAATACACAGAGTCTATGTTGAATTCAGGCCAGGCAAGACCTGCAAAAATACCATAAATGGCTCAATCTCTTCCATCCAGAAACCATCGAATGTGTTTACAAAGAGTGACTGTAAGGATTTAAAGTGGCAGTTTGCATCTTTTCAAGTGACTGATGAGCTAACGACCTTATGTTACGACCGGGCTCCTTGGCCACAACATAAAAAGAAGACTGAACTCAACAATGACCACAGCCCCCAAGAGCGAAATATACCATAATAAGGCAAAAGTATTTTTCTTGGCAAAAAACATGAGAAAACATAAACAAATTTTGCCATTGTTCAGTCTCACCTTGACTCACTTCAGTGCTCAATGAATCTACACAGTGGTGGTTTTCAATATAAATTGATGTGGGCAGAATCATTTTTACCTCCGCCAAGGGAGGAGGTAATGTTTTCAGTCGTGTATGTTTGTCTGTCTGCGGACAAAATTACTCAAAAACTTWTGGATGGATTTTCATGAAATTTTCTCCTCAAGTGGGTATTGGCCAAAGGAACGCACCGTTAAATTTTAGTGATGATCCGGATCACGATCCGGACCCACGAACAGCCAATCAGCTTCAAGGAAGCTGACCGTAGACTTCCAATCACATCGGATCATTCGACGGGTCAAMCCCCCGACTGTAGACATCCAATGGGATTGCCTGAAGCGGTGTAGAAGACCAATCACGAAGGCGCATGGAAATAAAACTTTAGACCGAATTGTTTTTAAATCGAAAAACTTACTGTTTGAAGTTACTTTAATGTAACAACAAATCATTTTCATAATACATCAGCCTGCRCGTCCTAACAATTTTTGTGTGAAAAATGGCATACGCAAGTTTCTGGGCTCGTTTTGTGCGTACACAAGCTTTATAAATCTAACCCCTGAACTGTCGGTTTAGGTTTCAGGCTGGAACTGAATTAAAGTTTATTAGAATGATCTTAATGCTGATATGACTTAAGCCTAATCATGAAGTGTTCAAATATGGAGAATCATCTAATAAAATATTATTTCACAGTGGAGCATTCACCTGAGAATGATAGAAAACATTTCAAAACTTTCCTGCTTGGTTTGATGCATATTTCATATAAACATTTCTCTCTTGTAACAAAAACTTTATGTGCTAAATATTGTTTAAAATCCAACAAAATGCATCATTTAAGGGAAGTCAGCGTGTTTGTATGTTTGATTACTGTGGCTCGCTAATGTATGTGTGACACTTTCATTGTGAAAACAGAGATGGATGTGAAGAAGACCAATTAGAGCGTTATTCACCTCCCACTCAGACAGGATGTTGCGTCTGGGCTCTGAAAGCCCAGCGCTTCTGTGAATCCTTCATCCTCATTTATCAGATCTGTCTGCCTGCCTGTCACTGTGCGCCGGAGACAAACTCACACCAAATAAGTCGCCTGCGCTCATCTTTCTGAGGGTCACAAACTAGACGAGTTAGAAGTTTGTGTACTGAATAATTTTTATAGAGCAACAAGTATGTAGCATTAAGAGCTTTCACTTGTATTAAATATTTCAAAATAAAACTGGTAAAATAAATCTTTTGATGGCAACTGATTTTAACAGATGTAATGTTTGTGTTCCCTGCAGGGCGGATGGGAGACGATGGTCTTTAGCATCTTTGCCCTCTTCTGGATATGGCACAAACACTCCCAGCTCAACGGTAACAACTTTACATTAAACATTTAATATTTGTCTAATCATGAGAAATAATACAGATGAGTGTATCTGCATTTTGAGAGCTTAATTTGAATCAGGAACCGATGTAATAATCAGTCCCAGCTGCAACTATCACAACTTCACATAGCAGTGTTGCAACACATGTTTATA